CCACTTCCGGTTTTCTGAGCAGTTAATTGGAGATAAGAGTCTGTAGTTACAGACTTTCCTGCCCAGGCTGGCTTTGAACCGAGCTCCTCAGATCTCAGCTTCCTGAATAGCTAGGATTATAGGTGTGAGCCACGGGTACCTGGCCTTTACTCTTTTACAGAGAATTATGAAGAAAACAGATTCCAACTCCTGTTCTTCCCTCAACCCAGTTGGAGTAAAACATTTGGAATATGTTTAGAAAATTGAAATATTCTTAGACTTTGCCAGAGAACCATGCAGACATCCAGGTACAGAGAACAAAGGAAGGTTTATTGCCGGGAAAGGGGGCTGACAAGATTCCTTCTCACAAGGGAGAAGTGAGAAGTAGCACCAGCTATTGTGTGAGGTGACCTATATAACCTAGGAGGCTTAGAAGGAGCTAGAGAAGGCTAGAGGTGGAGACCCCGGTGTGGACGTGCGGGTCAGGGGCTTCATCATGGTGGACTAGGATTTATGGCTACTGTCCAAATAGTAGATAAGGGTGCTGCAGCTGCCCAGACTTGAAGGTCACTCTAAGGGGCTCCTGTTGCTTTATATGGTGGTAGCTGCCCCAGAGAAGTGCCATCCCAAGGGAAAGGGGGGATTGGAAGTTGATTATTTACTGCCTTTACTACATGGGCCTAGTGTTGCCAAGGAAGGGAGCGTGTTAAGCTGTGGAGAGGGGAAGGAGTGGACTAAGCTATGGGAAAGGAGCTCATTTTACTAACAAAAATACACATGGTATAAAAACCAATGGAAAGGGGCTGGGAAGGTGGCTTAGTGGTAGAGTGCTTGTCTTGCATGCATGAGGCCTTGGGTTTGATTCCTCAGCACCACATAAGCAGAAAAAGCTGGAAGTGGTTCTGTGGCTTAGGTGGAGAGTGTTAGCCTTGAGCTGAAGAGCTGAGGGATAGCGCCCAGGCCCCAAGTTCACGACCAGCAAAAAAACCCAAATCAAACCAAAAAAAAAAAGGAAAATAAGTCTCTTGTCTCCTTTGTTCACTTCCCCAAAAGTTAACTACATTTAACCTTTTTTAGGATTATACTAAGAAATACATTTTTGTGGTTATGTTGTTTTCTATCTATAAAATCTTAACAAAGGAATTGTCCTGTGTCTACTAACTTTCTTGTATCTTGTTTATTTTTGTGCACTTAACATACTTTGGAGCTCACCATTGTCAGATTCCTTTCTAAATAATTATTCAATATGTATTTTTTGCTTCAAACAGTATTTCCTGTTAGCTTAGAATAGTTGTACAGAGGGGAATTTCATACTGTGTAAGTTCCATTTCCACATATGTTTATAATATATACCAATCTATCTCTCCCCTCTGTCATTTTCCCTCCCTCCTTCCCAGATCTACTTCAGCAGGTTTTATTGTTCTGTTTTTGTCATTTCAAATAGTCTATTCCACTCATGTCATCCTCTTTAAAAATGTATTTAAAATTTCTTTATTCTTTTTTTCTTTTTGCTTCCTTAAATACTTATTTTTTGTTCCTTCTGTTTAACTGAAATAGTCAACCCTTTAACAAATGTCTGCATTTTCTTATTATACTAATAGTTTTGTTCTTTGCTTCTGTGTCTTTTAGATTTTTTTCACTTCTCTTTGTAAATGAGAAGCTGTGGAACTCACTTTTCTTTTCTTTTCTTTCTTTTTTTTTTTTTGGGTCCGGTCATGGGGCCTGAACTCTGGGCCTGGGCGCTGTCTCTCAGCTCTTCAGCTCAAGGCCAGCGCTCTATCACTTGAGCCACAGCGCCACTTCCGGGTTTTTTTCTTTTTGCTTATGTGGTGCTGAGGAATCGAACCCAGGGCCTCATGCATGCAAGACAAGTGCTCTGCCACTGAGCCATCTTCCCAGCCCCGTGGAATTCACTTTTCTGTGTGTGTCTGGCTTATTTCACTTGGCATGATGCCCTCCAGATTCATCTGTGTCATCTCAAATGGTGTCTTTTTTTTTTTTTTTGGCTAATCCTGGGGCTTGAACTCAGGGCCTGGATGCTGTCCCTAATCTTCTTTTGCTCAAAGCTAGCATTCCACCACTTGAGCCACAGCACCATTTTTGGCTTTTTCTGAGTAGTTTATTGGAAATAAGAGTCTCACCAGCTTTTCTGCCCCAGCTGGCTTTGAACTGTGATCCTCAGATCTCAGCCTCCTGGCCATAGGCACTGTCCCTGAGCTTCTTTTGCTCAAGGTTACTGCAGCTCCACTTCTGTGATTAATTGAAGAGTCTCACAGACATTTTTCTTCCTGGGTTGGCATAGAACCACAATTCTCAGATCTCTGCCTCCTGAGTAGTTAGGATTACAGGTAATGAGCCACTGGTGCGTAGCTTCATTTTCTTTCTTTTCTTTTTTTTTTTTTTGTCATTCATGGGGCTTGAACTCTGGGTCTGGGTGCTGTCCCTCAGCTCTTCAGCTCAAGGCTAGCACTCTACCACTTGAGCCACAGTGCCGCTTCTGGTTTTCTGGTGGTTAATTGGCAATAAGAGTATCACGGAGTTTCCTGCCTGGGCTGGTTTTGAACCATGATCCTCAGATCTCAGCCCCCTGGGTAGCTAGGATTACAGGCTTGAGCCACGGGTGCCTGTTTTTTTTTTTTTTTAATTTTAAATAAAATGAAGCCAAGCTGGGTGTCAGTGGCTCACACCTGTATTCCTAGCTACCCAAGAGGCTGAGATCTGAGGATCATAGTTCAAAACCAGCCCAGGCAGGAAAGTCCATGAGACACTTATCACAAATTAACCACCAGAAAACCAGAAGTGGTGCTGTGGCTCAAGTGATAGAGTGCTAGCCTTGAGCTGAAGAGCTGAGAGACAGCACCCAAGCCCAGAGTTCAAGCCCCATGAACGACAAAAAAAAAAACCAAGTTATTGTAAAGGTGTTATGTTACATAAGTCAGGTAAAGAATACATTTCTTTTTGGACAGTGTCAGCCCTTCCCTTGCTCTTTCCCGATTACAAAGGTCATTTTCTACATAGTGTATGTTAAACTTTTGATGGTTATTGTCATATTACAAGTACTGAGCAGAAATGGATGTCGAACAGGAGAAGATGGCATTGTCTAGTTTTATTTCAAAGTTTGAAAAGTTCCCCAATGCCCAACAGGTGACTGTATTCCACTTGGAAGCAACTGACTGAGAATGGAATAATACATTTTTAACAAATTTCTATAATTTTCAAGTGGCTCCTAAGTTTTTAAGGCAAAGATACTTACTAATTTCTTTGCGCCTACCTACTTAATACACCAACTGCTAGATATTTCTTCTGGCCTAGAAATAAAAAAAACTGGGCAGTTATAGTAGTCCCTCTCACAGGGTTGGTGCTTGATATAAAGGCTGAATAAGCTAGTAAATTATTAAGATGATTATTAATGATTATTTAATAATTATTATTTAGTTCACAAAACCTTGGTTTTGTTTAGGAACAACTGATTAATATCTGAGTTTTTTTTACCTGCAAGAACGAGACACCAAATGGACACTGGTTTAAGCAGAAACAATGGATTGCTGGCTCCTGTGTCTGGGATGTCTAGAGTTGTAGATAGCATCAAACTTGGCTGGGTCCAGGTGCCCTTGCAAGCACCAAGGCCTCAGCAGCCATTGTATCTTTAGAACTGACTCTTCACAGGTGAGCAAGGTTTCTCCATTCTCATCCTTCTAGATCCACATCCTTTCATACAGAAATTCCAGGGAAAAGAATCATCTTATCTGAGAATTTGTAAAAATACCGGAGAGGATTCTGGTTGACCAGCTTGGTCATTTGCCTACTATCCCCTGAATGTGACTATGGAGATTGTAATGGGTCCTGATTTGCTCCCTGCCAAATGCTCCAAGTAAACCATATGGAATGGATATGTTTTCTGTTCAGAAGAGAGGGAGAATAGGAGACAAAGCACAAGGCCAAGAACAGTAAGTTTCTCATTTTACAGATAAGGGAAGTAGATTGGTAAGATTAATAAGTATGGGACTCTGGAGTCATTCTCATCTGCGTTCGTATTCTTGGTCAAATTAACCATGTCTGTATCTCCCTTCCTTCCTTCCTTCCTTCCTTCCTTCCTTCCTTCCTTCCTTCCTTCCTTCCTTCCTTCCTTCCTTCCTTCCTTCCTTCCTTCCTTCCTTCCTTCCTCCCTCCCTCCCTCCCTCCCTCCTTCCCTTCCTCCCTTCCTTCCTTCCTCTCTCTTTTTTCTTTCCTTTTTTTTTTTCTCTTCTTTCTTGTCAGTCATGGGGCTTGAACTTTGGGCCTGGGTGCTCTCCCTGAGCTCTTTGGCTCAAGGTGAGTGCACTACCACTTGAGCCACAGCACCACTTCTGATTTTCTGATGGTTTATTGGAGAGAAGAGGTTCATGGACTTTCCTGCCTGGGCTGGCTTTGAACCGTGATCCTCAGATCTCAACCTCCTGAGTAGCTAGAATTACAGGCGTGAGGCACTGCCACCTGTTTCCATGTCTACATTTTAGGGGGGGCGGTCTGGTCAAGTGCCTGAACTCTGGGCCTGGGCGCTGTCCCTCAGCTCTTCAGCTCAAGGCTAGCGCTCTACCACTTGAGCCCCAGCGCCACTTCTGGCTTTTTTTTTTTTTTTCTTCTGTTTATGTGGTGCTGAGGAATTGAACCCAGGGCCTCATGCATGCAAGGCAAGTGCTCTACCACTGAGCCACCTTCCCAGCCCCCCATGTCTACATTTTAAACACTTGACTCCTCACCTGTAACATATACATAGATGAAGTAAAGGCCAGCAAAAAATGGACAGTTAGTATAGTTCCTCTCTCACATGCTTAGTGCTTGATATGAAGGCTGAATGGGTTAATGGATGTCAAGCATCCTTCATGGGCCAGGTAATAGGAGGTCCCAGTAAATGAAGCCGCCATCCTTACTCTTCATGGGACTTTAGGAGGAACCTCTGACTTCAGGAGGTTTGTGTTCTTCTAACTAGGGAGGCAGGATGAGGACGCACAATACTGATCTTCCCTTCCTGTTTGTTGCAGAGCCAGCCCACATGGATGCTATCACCCACTCCCCTGTGGGAGCCGGGCTTCCCAAACACATTCTGGATATCTGGGCCATTGTCCTCATCATCCTGGCCACCATTGTCATCATGACCTCCTTGCTGCTATGCCCGGCCACTGCGGTCATCGTCTATCGCATGCGGACTCACCCGGTCCTCAGTGGGGCTGTCTGAGCCCCTCCCGAGGGGATCCTTTGGGAAGGAGGACATGAGTCCCTTCCCCAGACCTGTTCCTGGTTCTCTAAGAATTGAGCAGGAAAGACTTCAGAGGTTGGACTTGTGCCTCAGTTTCGATTCGGTGGCTGGCTATATATGTGAACTTGGTTGACTGATGCCACTGTGAGCTCTGGATTCCTTATTTTCAGCTAGGGGTTGCAATGCCTCCCCTTCTTTCCTCATAGTGTTGAGAGAACCAAATGACCTGGTGGAGGTGAGAGCTGTGTATGAACAGCACAGCCATGACAGATGGGCCGATGTTAATGCCACGGGCTGAGAAGCGTTGAAGAACCAAAGAACTTACATGCTAGGGATGGGCTGAAGGGGGGTGAGGGAGATGTTGAGGGGAAGAACAGCCATTGCCAGTGTTCCTCAGGTCAGACTAAGCCAAGTGGCTCAATGTTATTCTCTTTGGAGTGTCACTCATTTTCTTTGGAGTGCCAACTCTATTTTCTCAGGTGGGCTAGTATAGCAGAACAGGCAGGAAAAGCAAAACTATCCAGGACCAGTCTCTGCCCCTGTGTACATGACAGAAGGGTTCTGCTGTTATCGCCAGTGCTAATAGAATCAAGGTAAATGGGCTTGTAGTTTCGTATTTCTGTTACCTTTGACAGTAAATCAATGTTGGAATATACAGGGTGACTGAATTTCCTGCCCAATTTTCAGGGACTCCAGCCCTACTCCTGTACTAGGGTTGCTGTATATCTCTGTCCCAGCTCCTGCTACATTACACTCCGTCTACTCCCTCCCACCGGCATTGCAGCCAATGCAAGGTACTTATATTTTAGGAGATATTCCAAGGATCTTTGGAACCAACTCAAAACAGAAATAGTTATTTTAGATGCTATGATTTATATTTATATAGAGATATTTCTGGACTACCCAAGTGTTTCAATGCACAAAACAGAAGCACCTTGAGATTTATTAAATTATCTAAGAAGATAGAACAGACATTGGGATGTTGTGTGAAAATGATGCTTTTACTTTTATCTTTATTTCGTTGATATACACAACCATTGTCCAATAAAATGGTAGAATGAGCATGTCTAAGGTCTTCCTTTCAGAGTACCTATTAAACTCATAACAAATGAAAGTATTCCACTGGACTTATGGGTCTTGGAGGTAATTTGAATGTAAAAATATATAGAAAGAAATGAAAGACATTGATTTCCAGGATCCTAGCTTCCACAGGTTGTACAGTTTATACAAACACACATGTAAGGAGGACAGATTTTGCAAGTAAGATAATGAATTTATTATTATTTATGCGCTTTGGATCTTGTGTTCCATCTTGTGGACATGTTCAGTTTGTAGTTATTTCAAAATCTGATTCTGTTCCTTTAGAAACATTTCCTTGTCCCATAATAAAAGCTGGCATGCATATATCTGAACAGCAAAACCTAAAGCACAGGACAATCTCTATCCACAGAGCCATTAGGGAAATGCAACTTAAACTTTCAGTGTAGCTTTTTCACTGTCTAGTTTCTGACATCCAGGAAGACACACCCAAATAGTTGGACAAGATGCTGAGCATAGCAAACAAAATGTGTGTTTTTATTCCCCTCCCCAACTCATATGTTAAAATCTTATCTCAGATGTGGTGGTATGAAGAAATGGGGCCTTTGATGGAGAACTATGTCATGAGGACTCCGCTCTTGTGAATGGCCATGCAGGAAGCTTCCTCACACCTGTATGCACGGTTGCTTCATAAGATGGCTATTTTCTTACTAAAAGAATTCTGGTGAACTTTGCAGACTATACTTCCCTAATCCTTTTAAAAGTTATGATTTTGCTTGGTGCTGGTGGCTCACACTTATAATCCTAGTTACTCAAGAGGCTGAGATTTATGGATCACAGTTCAAAGCCAGCCTGGGCAGTAAAGTCTGTGAGACTTTTATTTCCAATAAACCACCAGAAAGCCTGAAGTGGTGCCGTGCCTCAAGTGGTAGAGCACTCGCTGTGAGCTGAAGGACAGCACCCAGGCCTAGAGTTCAAGCCCCATGACTGACCAAAAAAAAAAAAAAGATTTTTTTCAAGCATATAGTTCCCTTTATCGAAGATTTGTTTTGTTTTAGTACTGGAGCTTAAACTCAGGGCCTCTTTGCTTAATTTTTTTAAACTTAAGGCTAGTGGTCTACCACTTGAACTACATCTCTACATCCAGCTTTCTGTTGACTAATTGAAGATTAGATTTGCCGATTTGTTTGACTGAATCTTCATCCTCAGATCTCAGTCTCCTGAGGAGTTTAGGATTACAGGAATGAGCCATCAGTGCCCAGCTTTGAAGTTTTTCTTGCTTAGGTCTGTTAGAATGATTCTTGATTGGTTGATTTAGATTAAAAAAATCTGTTCTTGGGGCTGGGAAGGTGGCTCAGTGGTAGAGTGCTTGCCTTGCATGCCTAAGGCCTTGGGTTCGATTCCTCAGCACCACATAAGCAAAAAGAAAAAAGCCGGAAGTGGCACTGTGGCTCAAGTGGTAGAGTGCTAGCTTTGAGCTGAAGAGCTGAGGGACAGCACCCAGGCCCAGAGTTCAGGCCCCACGACTGGTCCTCCCCCAAAAAAATCTGTTCTTATTAATTATGACCTAGAAAGTCTACTTTCTTTTTCTTTTGATGGCACTGTGTTTGAACTCGGTTTTGTGCATGCTGAGCAAACTCTGCTACTTGAGCTACCCATCTGGCTCATTTGCTGTTATGTTATTTACATAGCTATTTATTTAGGCCCCTCCCCCCTTTTTTTGTTCTGGTGCTAGCCTGGATGGTGATTCTACTTATACTTTCCTGAATAGCTGGGGCCACAAGGGCACACCATTGGCTTATTTGTTGAGATGGGGTCTCACTAATATTTGGCCAGGCCTGGTTTTGAAATGTGATTCTCTTGATTTTTGCCACCTAGCGAGCTGGGATTATAGGCATGAGCACTGCAGCTTGACATAGCAATTAGCAATTACATTAAAAAAATTGTTTTTTGGTGGCACTAGGTCTTGAATTCAGGGCCTAATGCTTAGTAGGCACATCTTCAACCCTGGCTATTCACTTTGTAGATCACTGTGTAATCTGGCATCAGTGAGGAAAGGGTTCCGTTGTTGAGAGGTCTTAGAGAAAATAGACATACCAAGGAACTGATGGTCTCAAGACTTCAGAGCCCATTGGTGGTGATGGAATGAGAAATGTTCTCTATAGTTTCGGGAACAAATCTGGTAGAATAGTGAGCTGGTTACAGGAACATCATCCCATGAAGAACAAAGATATAAATTCCAAATCCAAAGGATCTGGCAATAACAGCTTTAAAAATGGCACCAATTCAAACAATTACCCCCCCTCAAAAAAAACCTCCAAATACGCAAAGAAACAACCACTCCATTAATAAGTGGACTAAATAATTAAAAAGAGACTTCTCTGGAGAGGAAATAAGAATGGCATGAAGAAATACTCAACATCTCTTTCCATAAAAGAAATGCAAATCAAACAACATTGAAATTCTACTTCACCACAGTTAGAATGGCCATTATCAAGAAACCTAATAATAACAGATGCTGGTGGGGATATGGCCAAAAGTGAATGCTACTACACTGTCCTTGGGAATGTAAACTTGTTCAGTCACTATGGAATGCAGTATGTAGGTTCCTTAAAAGACTAAACATAGAGCTTCCCTATAACCCAACAATCCCAGTCCTGGGCATTTACCCAAATGACCACAAACAAGACCACCCTAAAGCTACCAGCATAACTATGTTTATTGTAGCATTAAGATCTGGAATCAACCCAGATGCCTCTCAGTAGGTAAAAGAGTCATGAAAATATGGTATATATACACAATGGAATTCTATGCTTCCATCAAAAGAATGATATTGCACCATTCATAAGGAAATGGAAAGACATGGAAAAAAATCATATTAAGCGAAATAAGCCAGACCCAAAAAACAAAGAAACATAGGCTGCATGGTTTCTTGAACCTGTTTCTGGTTATAACTAAAAAGCTCAATAACCATTCTTCAAAACTCCCCAGTCCTGAGCTTCAACTCCAGAAATAGCCAACTTGAGAATTACTTTAAGGAAAAAGAAACAATTGCAATATTTAGACATAGTCTAATAAATATGGTAAGATATAGTAAATATGGTAAGAACAATGAAAAAATATGGTAACTAGGCACCAATCGAAATATAATGTGTAAATACAAAATGTACATATTTAGTGGATACCTCAGAAATTTTGTAAGATGGGCTAAGAGATAACAATCTGGATAGATAATAAAAATGAACTTCTATAATTTTTGATAGTTACTTATGCAAGACTTAAAAAAGATGAAAAAGTTTGGAGGAGTTGCAAATAGAGATCATACTTGGAATATATGAGCCTTCAAATGAGAATGAGAAGGAGCATAGAGGAGATTAATAGAACCTTATTGGAGCAGTGAAATTCTAGTAATAATTTTCTTTTGATTCTTCATTCTACTTGGCTGTAGTGAATTTATGAATGAATGACATTATCAATTTTTCATCAATAATATATTTATTTGACATTTTGCTCTATTTTATGTTATAGGAGTAATTTCTGATATTTGTACTTTAATAGCAGATGACCAAACTCCAAGGTAATATTTCTGTATATATTTATTTAGTCCAAAGAAGTGAAACATATTTGGCATTAGTCAATTTTTTTTTTTTTGCCAGTACTAGGGCTTGACAAGGCTGATGTTCTGCCACTTGAGCCATACCTCTACTTCTGGCTTTTTGTAGTTGGAGGTAATAGTCTAATGGGGTTTTATGCTTGGGTTGGCTTCAAACCAAGCTCCTCAGATCTTAGTCTCCTGAAGAGCTAGGATTACAAATTCTTCTATCTTACTTCCTTTGACTTTCCACATATAGTAAGTACTGATTGTCAGTAGTAAGAAGTATTATTAACCTACAGATGGAAAAATCATCTGCTTTGTGTGATTGTGAACCCTTGGGCTCCGATGGTTAGATGTTCGTGTATATATGTAATGTATCTATGTTATATATAACATGTATACAAACATATCTGTACAAATATAGATTATATTCATTATATATATGTATCCTTTCTCTGAAACCTTGTGGGAGGATAACATGGCTAGACAGTGTTGTTTCCCCTTGAATTCGCTAGCGTGTGTGTGTGCAGCCGCTGCGGTCCTGCGGAGATCACATGGGTGACTTCAGTACTGCGCCCCCATCTGCCAGGAGTTGATCAGCATGAGATCCTCACAAGGCTGAATAGAGGCTATGCCGTGCTCTTGGGCTTCCTAGCCTCCCGAGCTGTGTGGAATAAACCTTTTCTGTAAATGACTCCAGTGTCATTATTTCTGTTTCAGTGGCAGAAGATAGACAAAGATGGTGGATTACTGAATTAAAGAAACCATACAAGCTCACTCTATTTAGTATTTTGAGATAGAATATATTTACACTCATCCCTGTCTCTGGCACAGAGACTGAATATTGTAGTACTTCATAAGTGAAAAGTCAGGAGGGTCTGGCAAAGGCTGCTAGTTTGCTGTGCAATACCCATTGTTACCAACATAACCATTTTTTAAAATAGTTTTTAGCATTAGTTAGCTGTATAAGGTCATTTCATTTAGACATATCTACATATACATGCAATGTGCCTTTTTTCTTTTATTTTTTATTGTGAAAAATACTGTACAGAGGGGTTACAGTTACATGAGTAAGGTAATGAGTACATTTCCTATCGAGCATTGTTACCTCCTCCTTTGTTTTTCCCCTACCATCCCTTCCCTCCCCACCTCCCCAACTCCTCCCTCTCCCCCACCAAAGTTGTAAAGTTCGTTTTCAACATAGTGTCTTGTACATCTCATTGTTATAATGGTCAACCTGTATCCTTATTTCAGCACTTTGCTATTTCCCTTCCCCTCTCCAAATTATAAAAATGGCGGTGTACCTTCTTAAGCCAAATGTAACAAGCTTTTCTTTAAAATATATTTTTATTGTAAAGGTACTGTACAGAGGGGTTACAGTTACATGAGCAAGGTAATGAGTCCATTTCCTATTGAGCATTGTTACCCC